CGGAGGATCCAGGCCTCCGGGGCCGGCCTGGACTGGGGGGGTGGGGGGAACCGGCGACGGAGGCTCCAGGCCTCCGGCGCCGGCCTGGACTGGGGGCGGGGGGTGGGGGGAACCGGCGACGGAGGCTCCCCTCCAGGAGGGGAGGGAGGCGGCGGACGGGCCGTGCAGGGCCCGTTCGCCAGGCAGGATGGGTGCTGGAGGTAGGGAAGCGGGCGGACGGAGCCTATCGGCTCCGTTCGCCGCTGGGCTGAAAGCGGCCCTTAGTCTATGTGGGGAAGATGGCCGCTCAGAAAATGCTGGCTCCGATGACTGGCTCCCTCCCCTCCCAGCCACCCAGCCAATGGCAGGGCAGGTTGTCTGAGGGAGCCAGTCATTGGAGGCAGGTCTTCTGAGTGGCATATTTTCCGCCCATACACTAACGGGGCGCATTTTAGAATTCTGGCACCCAAAACTCCTTTATAATAAAGGAGAGATACCTCCACTCCCTGGCATTACGTTTTATGACACACATGGCCCGGCCCGACAAGGTGTCATTTATGTCAGATCAGGCCCTAATAACCAATGAGTTCGACACCCCTGCTCTAGGCCATCAGGCCGCAGTGCCTCTAGTGGCCTGCAGGGGGTAGCAAAGCATAAATCCAAATTCTGCAAGGAAGTGAGTGGGAGGAGCCGGAGAGGTGAACTCCCCATTGAGGACTAGCACCTTGAGACGCAGGTAAGTAAACCCACGATTCCCCATAGGACCTGTGGGGTCATTTACTGCAGGATGATTCAATTGGGGGTGGCTCAGAGACATTGTTGAGTGGCTGTCACTGGTGGCTGTGGTGAAGTGAAGGCCACGGACAGAAGGGAAGAAAGTTAGGGAAGCCATCAAGAACTTAGAAGTAGGGACGTTTGCTGTAATGGGATGCAAAGTAGAGAAGGGGTCTGGATGATGTGGAGAGAACTTTTATTTCCCTGAAGATTTTCTCTGCCGCTTCGCCTCCTCTCTCTTTCCGGCTCTCTCCCTTCTCCCATTTGGAAGAAGAGGAAGACGGCCAGCCACGAATTCGCATGGATCGTTCTCCTAATTTCTGGCGCCTGTCTTCTGCTTTCCTAATACCCTGTGACAAAGTATGACAAAACGGTCTCTCAGGTTTTCATTCTGAGCTGCATTTCAATATTCTTCCTCCAATTGAGACTGAAATGAATTTTATTCTCCTTTTGTCAGCAACAGCCTGATTATTGGTTCTTGGTCATTTTCATGCTTCTCCGGCTTACGGAGCTGGATCACAAGAAAATCACCGTGGAGGAAAAGGCAAGTGTGGCATGCTGCTTATTGGGGAGAAGGTTTTACCTTCAAAACACTCTATGTGTATATAAACTTGGTAGATTTCTGCTGCCCCCAGGAATTAAAAATTCCAAATCTTTCTCTTTTGGTAGGATGACCTAGGGTCTGGGCACTTCAGAGGACTATGTGGCTCTGAGGAAGTACTGTACTGATTTCTGGGATGAGTTTAAATGAAAATTGATTTATTTAATAAAGGACAAAATAGGTTTCTGGTTATTTTGAACCGTTACTGAAAAAAGGAACTTGCTTGGTGTCATGGTTAAGTGCGCAGACTCTAATCTGGGAGAACAGGGTTTGATTCCCCACTCCTCCACTTGCGCCTGGCTGGATGACCTTGGGCAAGCCGTAGTTCTGATAAGAGCTGTTCTTGAAAAAAGAGCAGTTTCTGTCTGAGCTCTCTCAGCCCCACCCGCCTCACAGGGTGTCTGTTGTGGGGAGGGGAAGGGAAAGGAGTTTGTAAGTTGCTCTGAGACTCCCTTGGGTAGTGAAGGGCGGGGTATAAATCCAATCTCTTTGCTTCTTCTCCTTCTCCTAAATATAACTGGCAAAGCTTGGTGCTACAAACAGTCTCTCAAACTCCAAACTCCACTCTGACAGGCTTATACACTCAGTATAATCTCTTTCTCTCTCATATATAGTGCTGCCCCCAGCCAGCGTTAATGTACCTTTAAGAGTAGTTGCACCTGGGAATTGGAGTCCACAGTTAGGGGTCCCAGAAGCTTCCCTCTGACTGGCTCATTAAGAGTGATTTCCTGAGCTCAGAGGCGCAAAGATAGGAGTTTTATTGTTCTTTTCCGTTTCTTTGTCCATCAACCATTACTGCAAGGAGAGGGGAAGCCCATCTCTTTTCTCACCACGGCCATAGGATTGACCTAGATCAGAAAGATGTAACGCTCTATCCAGCTATCAGCTCGATTGTGAGTAAATGATCTACTGAATGCATGTGAAGTTAAATAAAGATGATTTAAGCTCTCTTCAGTGGCTGTGTGTTGACTCACACCTGGAAAGCGTTTGCCTCAGCTGCAGCTCACGCTAGACAGGACAGTGAGAAAAGAGATGGGCTTCCCCTCTCCTTGCAGTAAGGGTTGATGGACATATATATATATATATAGCCACACAGGCTAGTCTCTTTGTTTTATTCACTCAGAATTGAATCAACTCTCTTAGTCACACAGACTGAATTGTTGGTCTTAATCACTCAGAAAAAGACTCAAAATTCCATAGTCACACAGACTATGTTCACTTTTCAAACTTCACACTTGGAATCCTTCATAGACACACACACAGATTCCTCTCAGACCCCCCTCCTCCCACACTCTCAGTCATCAGCCAATTAAATCACACTTAACTCCCTCTATCACTCTTACATTACTGCAGTCAAACAACATTTAAAGGAGCACACACACCAAAACATGAAATCATTACAGCAAGTGTCCCATTTTAGTGGTGTCGTCAAGTTCATTATTATTGTTGTTGTTGTTAATTATTGGACTTCTGAATCACCCAGTCCCTGAGTACACAGGGGCTCTGGACGATTTACAACAGGTTAAAAACATACAAAAATACAGATTAAAACCAGCAGATCAGTCATTCCTAATCTGATAATTTCCAGATGGCGTCTGTAATTAGGGTTACCAAGTACCTACCTACGAATAGGGGCACTTGTGGTGGACTGGTTCTGCTGCTGGGCCTGGCTGGCTGGCATTGGCATTGGCGATGCACATACATGCTCCCTCAGCCTGTGTGCTGCCGCTCCAGTGCAGTCTGGAGAGATTCTCTGGTTTGACCTAGTTCTGGTTTTGGGGCACTGACTGGCATGGCAACCTGGCTGGCCTGGCACAGGTGGCAGATTGCTCTGGTTCTTCTGCTGCTGGGCCTGGCTGGCTGGCATGCACTTGCTCCCTCAGTCTGTAGTGGCTGCTGCTGCTGTCTGGAGAGATTCTCTGGTTTGACCTAGTTCTGGTTTTGGGGCACTGACTGGCAATTGGCAACCTGGCTGGCCTGGCACAGGTGGCAGATTGCTCTGGTTCTTCTGCTGCTGGGCCTGGCTGGCTGGCATGCACTTGCTCCCTCAGTCTGTAGTGGCTGCTGCTGCTGTCTGGAGAGATTCTCTGGTTTGACCTAGTTCTGGTTTTGGGGCACTGACTGGCAATTGGCAACCTGGCTGGCCTGGCACAGGTGGCAGATTGCTCTGGTTGTTTCTTCTGCTGGGCCTGTCTGGCACAATGCACATGCTAGTGCTGCTGCTACTGTAGAGAGATTCTTTGGTTTGAGCTAAGTTGTAGTTTTGGGGTTTTGGGCACCCAGTTTGGTAGCGCAGGTGGGGGGGCACTTGTATGGTTCTGCTGCAGTGTGGCTGGCTGGTCTGGCAATGTACAGTTTGAAATTGCAACACGCAGCACACTCCCCCAAACAGTTTGCCCCCATCCCTCCATTGTTCTCTATGGTGGGAAAAAATGTAATTTTTTTCCCACCATAGAGAACAATGGAGGGATGGGGGCAAACTGTTTGGGGGAGTGTGCTGCGTGTTGCAATTTCAAACTGTACATTGCCAGACCAGCCAGCCACACTGCAGCAGAACCATACAAGTGCCCCCCCACCTGCGCTACCAAACTGGGTGCCCAAAACCCCAAAACTACAACTTAGCTCAAACCAAAGAATCTCTCTACAGTAGCAGCAGCACTAGCATGTGCATTGTGCCAGACAGGCCCAGCAGAAGAAACAACCAGAGCAATCTGCCACCTGTGCCAGGCCAGCCAGGTTGCCAATTGCCAGTCAGTGCCCCAAAACCAGAACTAGGTCAAACCAGAGAATCTTTCAAGACAGCAGCAGCAGCCACTAGCCCACTACAGGGAGCAAGTGCATGCCAGCCAGGCCCCAGCAGCAGAAGAACCAGAGCAATCTGCCACCTGTGCCAGGCCAGCCAGGTTGCCAATTGCCAGTCAGTGCCCCAAAACCAGAACTAGGTCAAACCAGAGAATCTCTCCAGACAGCAGCAGCAGCCACTACAGACTGAGGGAGCAAGTGCATGCCAGCCAGCCAGGCCCAGCAGCAGAAGAACCAGAGCAATCTGCCACCTGTGCCAGGCCAGCCAGGTTGCCATGCCAGTCAGTGCCCCAAAACCAGAACTAGGTCAAACCAGAGAATCTCTCCAGACTGCACTGGAGCGGCAGCACACAGGCTGAGGGAGCATGTATGTGCATCGCCAATGCCAATGCCAGCCAGCCAGGCCCAGCAGCAGAACCAGTCCACCACAAGTGTGCCAATGTGCCAGTGCCCAAAAAACCCCAAAAGCAAAACAATCTCTCCCCTCTGCAGTGGCAGCGGCCTACATAGGGGAGCATGTTTGCTAATGGCAGCCATGCCCAGCTGCAGAACCAGAGCAATCTCAACTTCCCCCCAACAACCTCTGTGCCAGTCACCCAACTTACTGGACTCAGTCCAAACCTGAGGATTTCTGCAGTATAAATGAAGGGGGGGGCAGGCAGGGCCTGTGCAAGTGACGTGAGCAATCACTAGGGGTGTGCGTGCGAATCCCCACTCAGCGCACCTGAAGAAAGGCAAAGGGAGGCCAGAGGAATCCAAATTACACCAAATCAGAGTGGCCTCCAACTCTCCAGGGGGTGCCCAAAGATTGAGATATGATGATTCCCAGTAGCCCCCTGTAAGAAGAGCTCTGTCAGCTCTTGGAGGATTGGCTACATTAGGGGTGTGTCGCCTAATACGCAAAGGAGTCCCTGCTACAAAAAGAGCCCTGCGAGTGTCATACCAGCAGCTGCATGTGGAGGGGTAGGGATTCACACCTGGTTCTCTCAGATTAAAGTCCGCGCTCTTAACCACCACACCAGATTTGGCACATGCTCCAGGAGGCCGACAAGAATTTCAGAGTATAAACTTTTTTTTGGTATTTTTGAGTTTGTGTGTATGTGTGTGTGCATGTGAGTGTGTGTGCACCTGGAAGTCATGATGACCTCTGGTGGCTGACCCTTACTGGGGGGCTGGAGGATATTCAGAGAGGCGGCTGAATGAAGCCTGCCCCCGCCTCCCAACTGCTGGTATTCCAAGGAGGTCTCCCATCCAAGGACTTGCCTGGGCTATCCCGGTCAGGGCCAGAGTATAAACTTTTGAGTGTCAAAGCTCCCTTTGTCAGAGAGAGTTGGCTCTCGTTCCAGGGGTCATTTCCTGCGGGAGCGCACAGGAGCAGAGCTCCGGCGGTAAAGAGCCCAGGGGGCGGGCACCAGTGTTCCCTCTAAACTGAGTTAGTGTGAGCTGGCTCACAGTTTTTTAGCCTCCGGCTCACAGATTTTTGTCTTAGCTCAGGAAGGAGGGCTCCAGAGCAAACTAATTGATGCAGTAGCCAAATTGCTCACTCACAACTTGAATGCCAGTAGGTCACAAAGTAGAATTTTTGCTCACAAGACTCCACAGCTTAGAGGGAACACTGGTGGGCACATGCAACAAGCCCCGCCCCCTGCTCCCAGCAGCCCTCAGTCAGAGCAAGAAGCAGCCAGGTAAGTTGCAGAGCCCCCCCCGGCCCCCTGTCCAAAACAGTCCAGTGGCACCTTTAAGACCAAGTTTTATTCAGGTACAAGCTCTCCCTCCTCTGCGAGGACAGATCTGCACATTCCCCCCCCCCCAGTAGCTAGCCATCCAAAACAGTCCAGTGGAGCCTGAGTGGTGGGCGTTGCCTTCTGACACACTTCCGGTGACGTCAGGGGGTGTGGCACATGCAAATAAGTTATGCTAATGAGTTGTGCCAATGAGCTCCCGCGCCTCTTTTTCTACGAAATGACCCCTGCGAAAGTCTATCCTGAAAATCTGGCTTGTCTCTAAGTTGCTACTGGACTCGAATTGAGCTCTCCTACCCAATGACTGACATCCGGAGGTCTCCTAACACGGTGACTCCGTTCAGCATCAGGGGCAAACAGCCAGAAGCGGTCCTCTCCTCCACGACAGTAACTGGTTTTAATTGATTTCTGGAAGCAACAATAAATGTTAATTAGGAGGGGATTCTAACCATGAACCCAGGCCGGCCTTGTTCAGAGGGCTTTAGCGCACTGGATTAATCCCTTTCCCCGTAATTACCGGGCACAGGTTGCGGCTGTGAACAAGTACGACCCTCCCCCAGAAGTGGTGGCAGCCCAGGATCACATGACCCACGTCATGTACAGCATGATGCAGCCGCAGCGGATCTACGACAGGTACCCGCTCTTTCGCTGTTCTCCTTCAACCCTGTAGGTGGCACTAGAGTAAAGCTGTTTGCCCAGCACGGGGACCGTCTCCTCCATCTTTTCCAAGTGGGCTCTTGCCCGACGACAAAAGCTGGCGGGGTAGGCCCACCGTGGATGTCAGGACGGGAATTAGGCAGATCTTGCCCGGCTGAGCCGATTATGAAATGAAGTTAGCTGCTCCCCTCGTAGCTCCGAGACAGATTGCTCGCCGCTCCATCTCTTCGGAGCAATCTGTCGGAGCAGATGGCCGTTCACACCGTGAATGAGAGTTGCAAAAAAAAATCTTTCGATAGCCGCCGACGATTAAGAGCCCTCCAGAGGGGGAGGAACGCCTGGCACGGCGGCTTCCTTGGGCTCTTCTTAACTCTCTCCCTGCAGTCTGGTTTGGGGAGACGAGAAGGAGGGGTGCTCGCCTGGCTTAGCAGAACAACCTCTCCTGCAACTCCTTCCTCTTCATGCTTTAAACATGCTTTAAAGTCCTTTCTCTTCATGCTTTAAACTCCTTTCTCGTCTCGCTTTAAACATGACGCTGGTGAGGCAAAAACCGCACCATTGTGGAACTTTGCAGTTCCAGAGCCAGTTTGGTGTCGTGGTGAAGTGCGCGGACTCTAATCTAGGAGAACCGGGTTTGACTCCCCACTCCTCCACTTGCAGCTGTTGGATGACCTTGGGCAAGCCATAGTTCTGTCAGAGTTGCTCTCTCAAGGGAAGTTCTCGGGAGACCTCTCTCAGCCACACCTGCCTCAAAGGGTGTCTGTTGTGGGGAGGGGAAGAGAAAGGAGTTTGTAAGCCAATTTCTTGTTTGGTGTAGTGGTTAAGTGCACGGACTCTAATCTGGGAGAACCGGGTTTGATTCCCCACTCCTCCACTAGCACCTGTTCTGGTTGACCTTGGGCAAGCCGTAGTTCTGATAGCTGTTCTTGAAAAAGAGCAGTTTCTGTCAGAGCTCTCTCAGCCCCGCCTGCCTCACAGGGTGTCTGTTGTGGGGAGGGGAAGGGAAAAGGAACTTGTAAGCCGCTCTGAGACACCTTTGGGTAGTGAAGGGTGGGGTAAAAATCCAATCTTCTCCTCCTCCTCCTCTTCTTCTTCTCCTCCTCCCCTTCCTTCTCCTCCTCCTCTTCTTCTTCCTCTTCTTCTCACGTGGCCTCTCGGCCACTTTCTGTAGAAAGTAACAACACTGTGTTTGAACCAAGCCTTAGCTAAGGTTGCCAGACTCCAGGTGGGACCTGGAGATCTCCTGGAATTTCAACTGATCTCCGGGCTACAGAGATCAGTTCCTCCTGGAGAAAATGGCTGCTTTGGAGGGTGAACCCTAGGGCACTGTACCCCACTGAAGTCCCTCCACTCCCTAAACCTGCCCTCCCCCCAAAATCTCCAGGGATTTCCCGACTCAGAGGTGACAACGCTACGAAACTCACCAGCTCACAAAACTCAACATGAGCAAAATTCTGTCTCTAAGCAACAAGAAGAAGAAGAAGAAGAAGAAGAGATTGGATATATACCCCGCCCTTCACTTGGAGTCTCAGAGCGGCTGACAAACTCCTTTCCCTTCCCCTCCCCACAACAGACACCCTGTGAGGTGGGTGGGGCTGAGAGAACTCTGACACAAACTGCTCTTTTTCAAGGACAGCGGTGCCAGAGCTTGTGACTGACCCAAGGTCACATCAGCAGGTGCAAGTGGAGGAGTGGGGAATCAAACCCGGTTCTCCCAGATTAGAGTCCGCACACCTAACCCCTACACCAATCAAAGGGAAGTAGGATCGCCAACCTCCAGGAGGCACAGAGGAGGCATGTTTTGGTCCTGTAACTTTGTAGTGACCTATTAGGGTGCTGGTGAGAGCTAGGGAGACCTTGCCCAACATTGGAATAACAGGAAAACATTACCTTGTAAGCAATGCTCCCCCTAAGCTGTGGAGTCTTGTGAGCAAAAATTCTACTTTGTGAGCTACTGCCATTGGCAGTTGTGAGCGAGCCATTTGGCTGCGGCATAAATTAGTCTGCTCTGGAGCCCTCCTTCCTGGGCTAAGACAAAAATGTGTGAGCCGGAGGCTAAAAACCTGTGAGTCTAGCTCGCACTCACTCAGTTTAGAGGGAACACTGCTCGTAAGCAACTGAAAAGGGATTTCTCAGCAGTGGTTCTTTGTTCCTGAGGAAGGACCACAGGTCTGAAACACTGAAAAGTTACCTGGGAAAAGTGTTGGAGATTCTATATATAATTCTGTATATTGACTCTTTGGCCTCTGTATTTTCCTATGATGGATTGTACGGGCATATTGACTTCATGACTTCATTCGGTGGGAAGGTAACAGCGTTCCGTGCGCCTTGGTGTTTAGTCATGCCGGCCACATGACCACGGAAACGTCTTCAGACAGCGCTGGCTCTTCGGCTTTGAAACGGAGATGAGCACCGCAACCCTAGTGTCGGACTCGACTGGCTTTCGAGCAAGGGAACCCTTTACCTTTTTAATCGATATCTCACACTTTAAATGATGTCTCCTTTATGAATACGTTGCAGGAAATGTAGCACACAGTTGTTTTGCTAGTTTTGTGTAACCTCCAGGTGGGGCCTGGACTGCTGATCTCTGGACTACAGAGATCAGTTCCCCCTGGAGAAAATTGCTGCTTGGAAGGGCGCAGAGTCTGTGGCTTTATATCCTGCTGGGCTCCTTCTCCGTCCCAAACTCCATCTTCCGCAATGATCCACCCTCGGATCTCCAGGAATCCCCCAAACCAGAGCTGGCAACCCCAGCCTCAGAAGGTGTCCCCCCCCACCCCCATACACAGAGTCTTGAAAGGATTTAACTCTCCCAACCAGAGTTTTTCGGCTTCTTTTCAACTCATCTTCCTCGTTTCCCCCTTTTGAAAATAAATAGGACGACGTTGGGATTTACCGGACAGTTTCTCTCTCTGTCTCTCTGTCTTGCCAATGTTGAATCTGACCCGGTGCCTCTGCGATGCCAGTATCTTGCCCGAGATCCCAGGCATCCCATCAAGGGTGGCTGGCTTCTACTAGTGCCTCCATCTATAAGTGCCTGAAGGCACGACAGTTTACTAGGCATCTGTGGCTCTTTACCTCCTCCTCCTCCTCCTTCTTAAGAACATAAGTAGCCAATGCTGGATCAGGCCAGTGGCCCATCTAGTCCAACACTCTTGTCACAGTGGCCAAAAATACCAGGTCAGCCTCTGTGTCCCGCTGTTGGCCCTCCAGTCCAGATGAATTGGTTGGCCTCTGTGTGAAACCAGATGCCCGGACTAGAGGTACCACTGGTCTGATCCAGCAGGGCTCTTCTGATGTTCTTATGAAGGCCTCGGCCTCTGTGCCCTGTTGTTGGCCCTCCGGAGGAATTCGCTGGCCACTGTGTGAGACAGGATGCAGGACTAGAGGGATCCCTGGTCTGGTCTAGCAGGGCTCTTCTGGTGTTCTTAGGATGCTGGACTAGAGGGATCCCTGGTCTGGTCTAGCAGGGCTCTTCTGGTGTTCTTAGGATGCTGGACTAGAGGGACCCCTGGTCTGATCCAGCAGGGCTCTTCTGATGTTCTTATGAAGGCCTCGGCCTCTCTGCCCTGTTGTTGGCCCTCCATAGTGACTGTGTGAGACAGGGTGCTGGACTGGATGGACCCTCACTGGTCTGATGCAGCAGGGCTCTTCTGATGTTCTTATGAAGGCCTCTGCCTCTATGTTCTGTTGTTGGCCCTCCAGGGGAACTGGTTGGCCATTGTGTGAGACAGGATGCTGGACTAGATGGTCCACTGGTCTGATCCAACAGGGCTGTTCTGTTGTTGGACCTCCAGAGGAACTGGTTGGCCATTGTGTGAGACAGGGTGCTGGACTAGATGGAGCCTCACTGGTCTGATCTAACAGGGCTCTTTTGATGTTCTTATGAAGGCCTTGGCCTCTGTGCCCTGTTGCTGGAGCTCCAGAGGAACTGCTTGTCCACAATGTGAGACAGGGTGCTGGACTAGATGGACCATGGTCAATCCAGCAGGGCTCTTCTGATGTTCATATGACTTGTGCCTACATGTGTCTTGTCTAGTGCCCCTGAGGTCCCTGTGAAAAACCTAACAAAACTTCTCTCCTCCATACAGCACTTTGCCAAGCCTTGACGCTCCTTACCCCATGCTGGTGCTGACCGGTCCACTGGCCTGCTGGAAGCGGGAACTTTGCCACAGGCTCTGCAGGAAGTTCAACAACTATTTCAGATACAGGTATGTTTAATTGGATGGGTTGTTGGAAGAGTGATTGGGCAGGTTGTTGTAAGATGAAACTGTATGGAAGGCAATGTATGGGTTCTGCCAATTCTAGGGGTTTTCTCCCCTCAGTTTGATGCTGGAAAGTGCCATCAAGTTGTAGCTGACTTATAGTGACCCTATAGGTTTCCAAGGCAAGAAATGTTCAGAGGTAGTTTGCCACTGCCTACCTCTGCATCGTGACCCTGGACTCCTTGGTGTTCTCCCATCCAAGTACTAACCAGGACCAACCCTGCTTAGCTTCTGAGATCTGATGAGACTGGGCTAGCCATTGCCTGCCTCTGCACAGCAACACTGGACTTCCTTGGTGGTCTCCCATCCAAATAGTAACCATGGCCAATCCTGCTTAGTTTCTGAGATATGACAAGATTGGGCTAGCCATTGCCTGCCTCTGCACATCAAACCTGAACTTCCTTGGTGATCTTCCCTCCGAGTACTAACCTGAGCTGACCCTGCTTAGCTTCTGAGATGTGATCAGGCTAGCCTGGGCTATCTTGGTCAGGGCAGTTAAGATAATAGTTGAGGTGTGTATTCGGCATAAACCAAGCCAGGAAGAAACCGAATTTAAGCCGAATACAGATTCAAGGAATCGCTGAGCCCGAATAAAAGCCGATTTTTTGGGCTTTTATTCCAGTAGCTATACCTGCCGGTTGGGCAGAGTGGAGTTTTGGGAGTTTGAGAGACTGTTTGTGACACCAAGCTTTGCCAGTTATATTTACAAGTTCCTTTCATCAGCAACAGTTCAAAATAACCAGAAACCTATTTTGTTCTTTATTAAATAAATCATTTTTTGTTTAAACTTATCCTAGAAATCAGAATAGTACTTCCTCAAAGCCACATAGTCCTCTGAAGTGCCCAGACATTTGGTCATTCTACCAAAAGAGAGAGATTTGGAATTTTTAATTTCTGGTGGTAGCAGAAATCTACCAAGTTTAGGTACACAGAGGGTGCGGTCAGACGGCGTGCTGAGGGAGGGTTAAACTGCTTCGGTTCTAATCGGATTATATTTGATCTGGATAATCGCGATCACACGTACTTCCCTTATCCCACCTCACCACGCAGTCACGTTGCTCTTCAGCGTCTACAGTACCAACGCGCGGGAGGGTGTGTCAGCGGGTTTTTAAATTTTTTCTCAGTTTCCACAGGCGTATAGGCACTCATCCGTAGAATGCCCCTCCCCCCGAAACTACCATGGCGCATGGGCAGAACCACCAGGACGAATCAATCCAACCCCTCCAACAAAAGACTTCCCTTTAAATGTTTGACCCAAAAATGGCCTCCGTGAGATCCCAAACTCATCTAAACTCTAAAACAAATGACCATTTAAATGTTGGTTTTCTAAACACGGTAGCGGAGCTCTACCTATGTGCGCACCGCCGACACTCAAACAATGTTAAGAAGAACAATAATCCCCATATATGTATGTATGTATGTATGTTTATATGTTTATATGTTTATTTTGTCCTTTCGTGTGTAAAATACGGAAAAATTTCAATAAAATTCTGCCTTTCGGGGCAGTCTTTAAAAACAAAAAAGGGTGGGCGAAAAGCGGAAGCCTCAGGCAGCTTTCGAGCGGGTCGGGGGTTTAAACCGGAAGTGGCTTGACACCGGAAGAGTGATCACATGGGGGGAAATGTGGCTTTAATTGGGAGAGCTGAGAAAACACCTCTCTGGGTTAAAGGGGGTTTGCGCCGGAAACCAACAGCTGGGGACAGGAGGCAGATGTTGACTGTGTGACCGTGCATATAAAGTCCGTTGCTGAACTGTCACGACACCAGATTAAATGGCGCATCTGAACGCACCCAGAGAGTGTTTTAAAGGTAAAACCATCTCCCCAATAAGCAAGGACCTCACATAGCCATTTCAGGTTTAACTGTTACTGGGGTGCTCGACTGTAGAAAAGCTGAAATACTGATTGTTTATATTTCTGTGGTTATATTGTTCAGTCTTTTTGTAGCTCATATCTGACGACATGAAACAAAAAGCCTCCTACCTGTGCCTTTTGGTTCTGAAAAGTGTTCGATTTGCAAAATATATGGCTGATGTCTTGCTAAAGACATCAGCCATATATTTTCGCAAATCAAGTGCTTTTTTAAAAAAATAACACACAACTCCTGCCGGAAGAAAAATCCAATATAATGCCGTTAAATAAATTATCCCATTTGAAAAGCCCAGTTGGAAATACCGAATAATTGAAAGCTGGTGGGGAATTTCCAAGCGCTGTAAGTTTTTCAAGAGCCATGTTTTGATTTTTTTTTAAATCTATATTTTATTCCCTCGTAACGTTTTATGCATACAAAGAAAATGACAGGATCTTAGCGGAGCAGAAAATTGATACCATAAAGCAAAGTTTTGTTTTAATTATTCAGGAGAGATTTCTGCAGCTTTAGCATTCGTTCTTTCGAATTTCAAGCATGCCACTCATTAAAAACGCAATTTATGGAAAAGGCTTCGCCGTCTTGAATGTAAACATGACCTTGCCGTTAAAAGGAGCTTGTAACATGCTTTCAGATTATTCGCTTATTTTTGTAAGCAGTAAAACGGGATGTTCGAAACATCTGGCCTGCGCCCAGGAATGACCTCTCAAGATGTATTTTTTCAATAATACAATATCCCTGGGAAAACTGGTTCTTTGAAGTTTAAGGTTTATAGAGGCCATGTGCCCCACACGGTTTTCATTTGACACAGTTTAGAATAAGGTGGTGCCCCAGTCATAAGAACATAAGAAACCTGCTGGATCAGACCAGAGGTCCATCTACCCCAGCATCCTATCTCACCCAGTGGCCAACCAGTTCCTCTGGAGGGCCAACAACAGGGCACGGAGGCCAAGGCCTTCATAAGAACAACAGAAGAGCCCTGCTGGATCAGCCCAGTGGTCCATCCAGTCCAGCATCCTGTCTCACACAGTGGCCAACCAGTTCCTTTGGAGGGCCAGCAACAGGGCAGAGAGGCCAATGCCTTCATAGGAACATCAGAAGAGCCCTGCCGGATCAGACCAGTGGTCCATCAACCCCAGCATCCTATTTCACTCAGTGGCCGAGCAGTTCCTCTGGAGGGCCTAATCCAGCATCCTGTCTAACACAGTGGCCAAGCAGTTCCTCTGGAGGGCCAACAACAGGGCATAGAGGCCGCGCTCTTCATAAGAACATCAGAAGAGCCCTGCTGGATCAGACCAGTGGTCCACCTAATCCAGCATCCTGTCTAACACAGTGGCCAAGCAGTTCCTCTGGAGGGCCAACAACAGGGCATAGAGGCCGCGCTCTTCATAAGAACATCAGAAGAGCCCTGCTGGATCAGACCAGTGGTCCATCCAGTCCAGCATCCTGTCTCACACAGTGGCCAACCAGATCCTCTGGAGGGCCAGCAACAGGGCAGAGAGACTGACCACTAGGGATGTGCATTTGGTTCATCCGAACCGAATGCACCCCCAAAAATGGCCCATTCAGACCCCTTTTGGGCTGCTGCAGGCTGATTCAGATTCTCTAATCTGAATTGGCTTGCCGCCGAATTGTCGCCGAATTTTGGCGGCAATTTGGCCCAATTATATCCTACGGGCCATTGAAGTCAATGGCAAAAACGTAGGGTATATTCTGGGGGCTGGAGGGGAGGGGATTTGAGGGAGAGGCTCCAAACTTGCAGGGTAGCTGCTGAAGCCTCTCCCCAAGATACCAACCACGTTTTAAGAACATTGGACCAGGGGTTCCAATTCTACGGGCCCCCAAACAGGTTGCCCCATCCCCTCCATTGTCTTCTATGGTGGGAAAAAAGTAACTATTTTTCCCGCCATAGAGAACATACGGGTCGCTGCGCAGAGGCAGGCGATGGCAAGTCACCTCTGTTTGTCTCTTGCCTTGAAAACCTTACAGGGTTGCCTTCTCCACTGTGATTTGATGGCACTTCACACAAACGCTTCCCAGACTTACAGACCGTCAAGTTCCGGTTTGTTGTAGTGGTGTAAAGAGCCAGTTTGGTGTCGTGGCTAAGTGCGCGGACTCTAATCTGGGAGAACTGGGTTTGATTCCCCACTCCTCCACTCACAGCTGCTGGATGACCTTGGGCAGTTCTGTCAGAGCTGTTCTTGGAAAAGAGCAGTTTCTGTCAGAGCTCTCTCAGCCCCACCCGCCTCACAGGGTGTCTGTTGTTGGGAGGGGAAGGGAAAGGGGTTTGTGAGCCACTCTGAGACTCCGAGTGAAGGGCGGGGTATAAATCCAATCTCCTCCTCCTCCTCCTCCTCCTCCTCCTTCTCCTCCTCCTCCAAAGTTCTAGTGTTGGAAGGGGGAAGCCCGCTCTCTCTTCCGGTCCCTTCCCCCCGTTCATCATTCGGTGAACTTCCATCATGTCCCCCTCAAGGTCTTCAACAACCGAAAAAGGTTTATTTGTTTTTGTTTTTTCTGTTTCTGCCCGGCTTGCCTTTCAGCCCCTGTCACACCACAAGGACAGCTTATTTTGGAGAAGAAAATCGTTTAGATTACTATTTCGTGTCCCAGGAGGAGTTTGATAAGATGTTGCGGATGGTAAGAGGGTCAGAATGGGTTTCCTGTTGGGCTTGAGGGGAACGTGCCTGGCTGTACTTCTAGGGTTGCACCTGGAGATCTCCAAGATCAGTTCTCCTGGAGAGAATGGCTGCTTTGGGCAGTGGACTCTATGGCATTATACCCTGCTGAGGTCCCTCCGCACCCCAAACCCTGCCCTCCCCAGGCTCTGCCCCTCAGATCTACAGAGTTGGCAGCCCTGTACCTGCCCATGGAACCACTTTCCAGACCCTTGGAACCCAGAAGACATGGCATAAGAGGAGGTGCTTTTCTACCTTAGCTGCCACTGCATAACCCCATATCAACATAAGTCAGGGGTGGAGGGAACCATTCCAGTTACCATGAGGCTGTCCTCCCATACTACCCACTTGGGGCAGCAAAATGACTAGAGACAGCCCTGCCTTACAGCTAAGCAGAAGGAAAGAAACATGGCTCGCCTCCCTCTATTTTCCCCTTCCCTCTGCCACCCCACCAGCCACAGTCGGGACACTCACCTGGAGCTTCCTTCTGGAGCTCGTTGTATTTCTTCTCACGACGGGCCTTACTCCTAGTTGTTTATATAATTTGTAATTTTCGTCATTTTTCATCATATATTTTGTTTGCCACCTGGAGGTTGCCAACCCCGTTAGCTCATACCTCAGCAACCCTGTAAAGTCGATCAGTATTATCGTTCCCATACTGCAGGTGATGGACTGAGGCCATCCATTGTGCATGCAGCTCAAGTAAAATTCGAACCGGGAACCTGTCGGTTCACGGCACAGTTGCTGGGCTGCACGGGCTCTCAATTACTGACTGCAGGGGTCATTTCCTGCAGGAGCGCACAGGAGCAGAGAGCCCAGGGGGCGGGCACATGCAACAAGCCCCACCCCCTGCTCCCAGCAACCCTCAGTCAGAGCAAGAAGCAGCCAGGTAAGTTGCAGAGCCCCCCAGCCCAAAACAGTCCAGTGGCGCCTTTAAGATCAAGTTTTATTCAAGTACAAGCTCTCCCTCCTCTGCGAGGACAGATCTGCACGTTCCCCCACCCCCATAGCTAGCAATCCCAAACAGTCCAGTGGAGCCTGAGCGGTGGGTGTCGCCTTCTGACACACTTCCGGTGATGTCAGGGGGTGTGGCATATGCAAATAAGTTACACTAATGAGTTATGCTAATGAGCTCCTGCACCTCTTTTTCTACGAAATGACCCCTGAGTGACTGTATTCATTCTGCTAGATTTGAGACCCAGCGGTGCCTTAGAGAACAGCAAGATGTTGAGGGCATGAGCTTTTAAAAAGCAAAGCTCCCTTCATCAGATACGAGTGGGTAACTACTGTTCTACTTGTATCTAATGAAGGGAGCCTCTCGAAAGCTTATAGCCCCCCAAACCTAGTTGGTTTCATAAGAACATAAGAGAACATAAGAGACGCCAATGTTGGATCAGGCCAAAGGCCCATCCAGTCCAACACTGTATCACACAGTGGCCAGAAATACCAGTGCCCTCAGGAGGTCCACCAGTGGGGCCAGGACATTAGAAGCCCTCCCACTACTGAGCTCAAATCTAACTGTTCCACTTCTGACCAACACTGCTATAATGATGATGATGATGATATTTCAATTTATTAGTCGCTCAATCCTGCAGAGCTTGCTGGCTCTGAGCGATTTACAGTTACTCATTCACACGGGACTAACTATGATTTATGGGGGTAAGGGAAGACAACATATATCTTTTAAATCACACACATTCACAGTCGGCGAGGGTTTGTTCAGCTGCGGGTCAGACGTGTTCCGTCAGCATATTCACTTCGGCTTGGCTAGATGACGTCAGCTTCTCCAGGTCTTGCAGCGCCGCACTGCCACCGCCTGGCCGGAACGGCCCATTACAGGCTTCTCGGAGTCGAAGAGATTTTTTCTTAAGCTTTCAATCTTGCAAGCTGAGCATTCCGGTCGCCGGCTAACACCTCCCCCACCCTCTGAAACTCTGTTAATTGTATAATTGCCGGTTAGACGAGATTTAGCCATGGAACGTCGGCATCAGGGAACAAAGGAGACACAGGATCCTGGATCCGAGATTGTGCCAGTTTACAGGTTAGTTTCCTTTGCCTTTCACCACAACCATATTTCATGGTTTTAATTTCAGGGGAAGTTTATTACCACTTTTAAATACAGAGACTTTCAGTACGGACTCGGCCGAGAAACTATTGATTCTATCGCTCGGGAAGGGCTTGCGACCTGTGTTCATATGGAAATAGAGGTAAGAATGCTGAGTGCGGTGAGTTAGGTGGGACTGAGGGAACTCTGAGAGAACTTGTGATTGGCCCAAGGTCACACCAGCCGCTGCATGTGGAGGAGTGGGGAATTGAACCCGGTCCTCCCAGATTAGTGTCTGCCGCTTTTAACCACTACACCAAACTGGCACCAAACTGAATGGAGGCAGCTGCTCAAATGTTTTTTTTAAAATCTGCACAGCCAATCAAATATCCAGTGGCCAATGAGAGCCTTGCTGGGCAAAAGCCCCGCCCACCTTCTAAAAGCACTTGGTGGGCACCAGGTAAGGACCCCTGACCACACCCTGGAAACTGGAGACGCAGTCCGGAATCAGGTCAAATAACAGAGCCAAGGGTCAGAGAGCCGGGAAATCAGTCCAAGGTTGCAGGGGCGAGGAACTAGGAGCGGTTGCTACAAGCCAGGAGCAGATCTGAGCTTGCACTGTTACTACCGTGCTGAGTGTTTATGAACAAGTCCTCCCTTCCCTGGGAGTCAGTCTGCCAAGACTCACAGCTTCTCCCATTGCTTTTGCAAGAGCCGCAGCCCGGCACTCCTCCGTCACTCTTGCGTATTCAGCCTCCGGTGTGCCCTGCCTCTGGGGCACTCAGGAGAACTAGGTGGGAATTCTGGCCTCAGGGTGTCTCCACCCGGGGTGCTGGGCCAGGCTCTGGATCAGTCTCTCCTTTGGGCTGCACCTCCTGTGCAGCTGCTGGGGCCTCTTGTCCCTAAGGTGCTGTTGAGGGTTCCTCTTCTGGGCTGACTCCAGAGGAGGCTGGGTCGCTCCCCGGCCTCTTCCTCATCTGAGGAGTCGTCAACCTCAGCAGAGCCAGGACCCATGACAGCAATACTAGTGGGGGAGGACTTAGTCCCCACCCCTTTCTCCTGGGCAGCTCATAGTCCTTTGATGTAACTTGGAGCATCTCGCATGGTTTAACCGCGTCAACAATAGAGATGTAAAATTTCCGGAAATGTTGAAGCTTGGGAAAAAAACCTTTTTTTCGAGGGGGAACGGAAATTTTCGGAAAAATTGGAAATAAAATGCTGCATTAGCACTTCTTTTTCCTTTTCCAGCTTGAAAGTCATTCTGTTACTTTAGGAACATAAAATATGACTATGGACATTTTTACTTGGCATGAAATGATCACAACTAGCATATTAAAAATAGAGTGCATCCAAACAATTATTACAAGCAGAATACCCACCCACATGCAAAAACAAAACGGAAACCTTTTTCTTTTCTTGTGACAATAGCACCTCCCAAAGGAAGAAATGCATCTTGTTCTTGCATTGGAGAGTTCAGTTTGCAACCTAGGACTTGCTTGTCCTCAGTGCACAGAAATTAGATCAATCTGATATCATACATATTTTTCAGAAATGATTTGGAAAATATTTGAACACCTTGTCCTAAAATATTTTATTCATCATGTTAAAATAAAACGTTCCATAATCAATTTTTAAAATTTTCTTTTTTCAATTTTTTCAATTTTTCGGAAAAAAACTAAAAAGGCTTCAGGAAAAAAATGGGAGAAAACCGGGTGTTCCCCGAATTTTCCCATTTTTTTTCCGGGCCTTCACATCTCTAGTCAACAAAGACCCACAGAGGTTGGACCTAAATGACAAGCCAGGCACTCTCTGCTTCATAGGGGGTGAGAAGCCTAAAGAATTCCTACTTTGAACCCCGCTACATCCTGTTGATCCCAATGAACAAAGAAAAATACGGGGGTCACCTGCGGAGGATGGGCCTCTTCAGCAGACCGGAGATCGAGGAAGCTGTCCAGAGGGTGGACATGTACAAGAAAGTGAACCAGGGCTACCCAGGGTTCTTCGATGCGGTCATCAACGTAGGTGAGTCGGCACAGGGGGTGCCATTTCCGGGGTGGGGGGCATGACACAAGGAGCTCTTCTTCTGAAGCGAAACAGTGCTGTTCGTCACGGCCGACGCAACAGTCTCATAACTTTAGTTGCTGTAGATTTTCCGGGTTGTCTGGCCGTGTTCTTGGCATTGTAGGACCTGATGTTTCGCCAGTAGCCGTGACTGGTGTCCTCAGTGGTATAATACAGAAAGATGGAGTACTCTCTGTGTCAAGGTAGGCAGGTAATGGTAGGCAGGTAATTTATCTCTACTCAGGAAGGTGGGGTAGGGCTGAGTCATTATCCTGTAGGCGTTCCCCAGGCTGTGAATATGCTAATGGAGGAGCTTTCCTGAGGAGGTTCTTTTGTATATGGATTGTTTCCTGAGGAGGTTTCCTGTTTCTTGAAGAGGTTCTTTTGTATGTGGATTGGCTGCTGAAATTCTAATCTTATCTTTAGTGCTATTGTCAGGTGTAGAGCCTTTTGTGTTTTTCAGGACAGTACTAAGCCTTATTAAGAGATCTTGGGAACTTGAAAGCTTGCCACAGGTTTGAGTCATTTTGCTTGACCCTAATAAAGAAAGAAGTTCCTTGGCTTTAGTTTTTGGATCACTCAGAATTTCATTCAGGTGGGCGGCCGTGTTGATTTGAAGCAGCAGAACAAAGTTTGAGTCCGGTGGCACCTTGAAGACCAACGAAATTTAGTTCTGGGTATCAGCTTTCGTGTGCTTATACCCAGGGGTCATTTCGTAGAAAAAGAGGTGCAGTAGCTCATTAGCATAACTCATCAGCATAACTTGTTTGCATATGCCACACCCCCTGACATCACCGGAAGTGTGTCAGAAGGCAACACCCACCGCTTAGGCTCCACGGGACTGTTTTGGATTGCCCGCTATTGGGAGGGGGAAACGTGCAGATCTGTCCTCGCAGAGGAGGGAGAGCTTGTGCCTGAATAAAACTTGGTCTTAAAGGTGCCACTGGACTGTTTTGGGTTGCTACCTATTGGGGGGGGGAACGTGCAGATCTGCCCTCACAGAGGAGGGAGAGCTTGTACCTGAAGGTGGGCTGGGGGGGGTCTGCAACTTACCTGGCTGCTTCTTGCTCCTCGTGGCTGGACTGAGGGCTGCTGGGAGCAGGGAGCGGGGCTTGTTTCATGTGCCCGCCCCCTGGGTTCCTTACTGCCGGAGCTCCGCTCCTGTGCCCTCCCGCAGGAAATGACCCCTGCTTATACCCAGAATAAAACTTTGTTGGTCTTAAGGGTGCCAGCGGACTTGAACTTTGCTCAGTAAGTTTTGCGGAGAATTAGACCGGAAACCGCCACTTTTGACAGCAGTCCCCTGTTATCTCACCTTGCAGCAGCACCTCTTAGTTATCTGCGTCTTTATTCTCTCCTCCTCCTCTCCAACCGCACGTTTAGATAACTACGATGAAGCATTCACCAAGCTGGTCCGCCTCATCGAGGAATACCTGGGACTGGTGAAGCCTGCGGAGTCAGAAGCGACAGTTCCTGCAGCAGACAGCAAAGCAGGTCCAGGTACTACACCTAATGCTACAGATGCACCCTTTGTGAGCCAGCAGCCAGTTTACTCACAGGCAGTGTTCCCTCTAAGCTGCGTGAGAACATAACAACATAACAGACGCCAATGTTGGGTCAGGCCAATGACTTGTCCTTTTATCTCATGATTTTTGAGCTTACTTAGGAACCTTTGATGAGGAACTTTATCAAAAGCTTTCTGGAAGTCAAGGTAAACAATATCTATTGGATCCCCCTTGTCCACATGTTTGTTCACCCCCTCAAAGAACATTAACAGGTTAGTGAGACAAGATCTTCCCTTACAGAACCCATGCTGAGTCTTCCGCAATATAGGGAATGTGCCCCAACCCTTTGATCATTCTAGTTGCCCTTTTCTGCACTTTTTTCCAGTGCTATAATATCCCAGCTCATCAGGTGTTAGGTTTAACCTGGGAGCTGGCAACCCTCACCTGATCCCATTCTTAAGCTTGGTTGCTGCTAGAAGGCCCCGGTCTGAAGCCTACATCCCTTGACTACAAGGCAAGCTCAACAAAAAGTTCTTTTCAACGGCAGACTTCAGGCACGTGAACCCAAAATTCACAGAGGTCCTGAGAAGGACAAAGGGATCCGAGCCCTACAGGCAAAACATCAGTTGCCTCGTCCTTGCCTGCTCCGCTATAAACCATCTGATATTCCTTGAAGGGATTCATAACGGCCTCGAATGTCTTGTCATCCCACCAGTGTGTAATGCTTCTTTGCGACTTCATTAAGAGTGCTTCGAATTTGGGGCAATTCTGCCGCCCATAAAAGTAACTTTAAAATTTATGACACTTCATTAAATCCATTTAGTGCTTCATTTGTAGGTATTTCCAGATAAATGTAACGATCCCGTCTTTAGGAGAGATTGCCTCTCCGTTTGCGGGCGAGGCGTGAGTATTATTTTTGGGGGGGGGATTAATTTTGCCTCGAGGTTGAGTCTTAATATGAACATTTGCAATAACAGTGTAATAGGGAAGCATTAGCCGAACAATATAATGTTTGGCTATTAAATCCTCCCTCCCCTTAATGAACAACCATCTCCAAACTTTTGTTAAAGGACACAGGAGAGGCCCTGGGGAAGGGTGGAAAGGGAGGTTGAGGCTGGAGACAAAAAGAAGTCTCTTTCGAGTGTTGAAGGAGGGCACGATGGAGTGGTAGGGACCCGTCCCCCCCCCCGTAGGGTCGGGTAATCCCCTGTCCCCTGCTCCTGGTACAAGCTGGGGTCCCATGTCAATTCGGTAAAAATCCAGATTTTTTTTTTAGCATTAGCTTATTAAGGGAGCGGTGGCGCAGGTGGTTGAATGCCTGCATGTAACATCTACAAACAGCTGCTACAGCTGTTCGATTCCCGCCGCGGCCAGAGTGAGCACCTGGCCCCAGTCCCAGCTCCCGCTAACCCAGCGGTTCGAAAGCACGATGTAACATCAAAATGTGCGAGTAGATCAATGGGTACCTACCTTAGATGGTAGGGGGCACCCTCCCTCCGTCGAGGGGTCTGTGGAGTGGCGACAACGAGCGGTGAGGCGGCGAGCAGCAGACGGAGAGTGGTGGAAAAATGGCGACTCAGGCGCAACATCTACGAGGGTCCGGACGTTGGTGGAAGGCGGAACCAGGAAGATGCTGGGAGTGTGGAAGGCGCAGGCGCGGCGGGGCCTCAATGGACAGAGCCGGAACCGCACTGGAAGCGCGCCAAGCGCCTGAGAGGCCCGCTGAAACCGCCACCGGAAAGATCACGGATAGAAGGAGAAAAAAGCCAGAAAAGAAGCTGAACCGACGAGCCGTTCCAGAAGGAAGAAGATCGAATAACGTCCCTCCACTGGGTGCTGTTAGGACAGTCCCCACCCCAGTATATATGTGGCCATAGGTAAGGGATAACGGTTAACTGTAAGCCGCTCAGAGACCCCCTGGGGGGGTCGAGCGGGGTAGCAAGTTGAAATAAATAAAATAAATAAAATAATATTTTTAAATTAACAAAAAAGAACAGATTACACAACCATTCAAAATACTTAGTAATGGCCCCAGTCACATGAGCGGGAAAATCCACACTGGAAGGGAGGCATTTTAGAGGCGGAGCTAAAAGAAGCGTGGGAGAGCGATCTTACAGTCCCCTGCGGCTCTGTCCTCAGGCCGTCGGCAGCCAATCACACCAGGGAGGCAACAGTGTGGTCCCAGCAAGGCAACACGGCAGTACCGCGTCACTGCGCATGCACGTCTTGCGGACGGCTGCTGGATGCCACGGGCTACCGGCACATCTCCGATCAGACGCCAGCCGTGCCGCGCATTTACCGGAAGCGACTACGTTTTCCCCAGTGCCTTTTAAATCCGCTTCTTCGGGCCGACGGTACGGGTTGGAGACGGGTGCGCTACGCTTCCCAGATGTTGTGGTATGATCGCGCCCGTTCGACGCGCCCTCAATCCATCCCTTTTGCGTTGCATATCCTCTGTGTGACCAGGACCAATGATAGTCAAATCATAATGCATGAAAACATGTTCTAACAGAGGAGAGTTAAAAGTGTTAAACTGTATATAATACAAATTTTAAGTGATAGGAAGAGCTTTCCTCATTTATTAGAATTACTAAAGATAATGAGGATTGTAGCGTGATCAGTGTACTCAAAGAACAGATGTCTGAAAGATGTAATAGATAATTACGTGAAAAGTAACTTTGGATAGATCTCCTTGTACGGTCGGACATCTTTACAACCAACTCTAGAAATGGGAACCATTTTTGGGAGAAACGAGGTTGTTTGGGGGGAAGTTTGTCAAATGTGATCCGTAATTTTTTCCATTATCAAGAGGTCCCAAACTTTATTGAACCAGAACTCAATGGTTGGAGCAAGGTGAGACTTATATCTTGTCACTATACAGGTCCTCACTGCCACTATAACTTAAAATTAACTCTCTCTTGATAGAAGGAATAGTTAGATCTTGCCAAAGATTGAGGAAAAGAACCTCTGGAGTAAATGGAATAGTGTATCCAGTGATGTTATGAATCTGGGAAAGCACTTCTTGAAAAAAGGACTCGATGACTGGACATTAGAACAACTTCTTGAAAAAAGGACTCGATGACTGGACATTAGAACATAAGAACATAAGAGACGACAATGTTGGATCAGGCCAAAGGCCCATCCAGTCCAACACTCTGTGTCACACAGTGGCCAGAAATACCAGTGCCTCCAGGAGGTCCATCAGTGGGGCCAGGACATTAGAAGCCCTCCCACTGTTGGCCCCACCCCAAGCACCAAGATGACAGAGCATCACTTGTCCCGGAGTCCCTATCTATACCTTGTGGCTAATAGCCAGTGATCCACCTCTGCTCTGTTTAAAGTTATCCCAGAAATCAGTACAGTACTTCCTCAGGGCCACATAGTCCTCTGAAGTGCCCAAACCCTAGGTCATACTACCAAAAGAGAGAGATTTGGAATTTTTAATTCCTGGTGGCAGCAGAAAACTACCAAATTTATATACACATAGAGTGTTTAAAGGTAAAACCGTTTCCACTATAAGCAAGGACGTCACAGTCTCACCCAGAATTATGCCCAGAATTAAACTTTGTTGGTCAACTGTGTTCTGCTGGTCATTGAAGTTCCTCATCCACACCCGAGGAACACACTCCCTCTGTCGTCCCCCCTCCCCCAGCCCACAGTGCATCACCTGCTTATACCTAAGAAGCGAGTGCGAAACTCTGGAGCTAGCACTTTTTGCAGGTGGAGGGCCTTCGCCTGCTGCAGCACACACAGTGACCACACCAGGTCCACCAGCAGGTATGGGTCCAAGGAGTCCAGGTGGTCCTCCAGACGCTCGTGGATCGTGCCAAAGAAGGCCTCGGCACAGCTGGGCTGGAAGTTCAGGCGAGCGAACGCAAGGACCACGTTGCTAAGAGAGACGGGGCTGAATTTGTTGCCGTTGTCATTCCCACCAAATCCAGAAGATTTAATTTAGTTCATTCATTTCTACCCCGCCTTTCATTCCAGTGAGGACCCAAAGCGGATGGCGTCATTCTCCTCTCCTCCATTTTATCCTCACAGCAGCCCTGTGAAGTTCGGGTTAGGCTGAGAGTGACTGGCCTAAGGTCACCCAGCGGGCTTCCAAGGCACGAGCAGGTATTCAAACCTGGGTCTCCCAAATACTAGCCCAACACTAAGAACATAAGAACATAAGAGACGCCAATGTTGGATCAGGCCAAAGGCCCATCCAGTCCACCACTCTGTGTCATACAGTGGCCAGAAATACCAGGGGCCATCAGGAGGTCCACCAGTGGGGCCAGGACACTAGGAGCCCTCC